ATTACTTATTCACAGCCCCGGGGGGGAAGTACCTCTGGGTGGGGAAACCCAGGGACACCATGTAATCCAACTTTCCTCCCAGTCGGATACCGTCTGCTTCCTGAGGACACAATATCACCAAGGCAGTATTTCCTACAAAAACGTGTAACTGAACTCTAATCGAGAAACAACAATCAGAAAAATCCAAATTGAGAGACAGTCAATAACTGGGCGGGACTTTTAAAAAATGCAATGCCAACATAGACCAAAAATTAAGGGCTTGGGGGAGCTGTTTCAGACTTAAAAGAGACTAAAGAAAACCAATGAGGCCTGCCCGGCGTGGCTCAGTGGTTGAGCACGAACCTATGAACCAGGAGGTCACGGTTCGATTCCCAGTGTGGGGCGTGCCGAAGGCAGCCAGCCAATGATTCTCTCTCATCAGTGACGTTTCTATCTCTCTCTCCCTCTCCCTTCCCCTCTGAAATCAATAAAAAAATAGGAAATAAAATATAACGTGAAGTTTAAAACAAAACGTGTGTGCACGGGCAGGCGCGAAGAGATAAAACTAAAACAAATGTGGTAAAATTCAACAATTAGTGAAACAGATAAAGGATATGAGGGAGTCCACTGTACTTTTTATTCTTTCATGGTACTCGCAACTTTGTTGTAGGTTTGAATTTTTTTTTTTTTTCAAAATAAAAAACTGGGGAAATAGGTCTTTAAAACCGAAAACGCATATGATCTCAAACCTCTGAGGAAGTCAGGAGGCTCCTCAACCCAGCCCTGCAGACTCACCCTCCGGTGCCCGTCACCCTGTCCCTTCCCAGAGCCCTGCCCAGAGCCAGGTCCGGCAGCCGTCTGCTGACTCAGCACCCACCCCACCCCCACCCTCCATCCTTGCCGCCCCTCCCTACGGAGTCTCACACCCAGACTGAAGTGCCAGCCTCCACACAGACCTTTTGGCCTCTGGTTTCACTCTAATCTGTTGCTGCCAGATAACAGCTCCCTAACCTCTTTGTCATACGACAACCTAACCTGAGTCCCCAGACCTACCCAGTCAGCCTCACCTCACCGACTGGCATTCCACATCCCCCGCTAATTCTGCCTCGCCCTTTCTAACTCCCCCCGCCCCCCGTCATCCTCATAGTCAACCATGTCCTCATCCATTCATCTACTTCTTTACTCAATAATTATTGGGCTTCTCTGATGTTCTAGGAATTGCTCTAGACCGAGTCTTTGAGTTCACAGTGAACGTGGGGAGGGACCCAGGAGAACGGCCACGAAACAGTGCTCGAAATGTCCCTCAGAGGGGGGGGCAGACCCTACAGGAGAGCGTGGAGTGGAGGCGGGAGGCGGGACAGGGAGCGGGTCATGGACCAGGCCTTGGAGACCTAATAAGACTTGGTCAGATCGACAGGTGGGGAGAAAGCAGAATATTCAGAGAGAGAGCAAAGAGGGCCCGGCGTGGCTCAGTGGTTGAGCGTCAACCTAGGAACCAGGAGGTCACGGTTCAATTCCCGGTCAGGGCACATGCCTGGGTTGTAGGCTTGATCCCCAGTGTGGGGCGTGCAGGAGGCAGCTGATCAATGATTCTCTCTCATCATTGATGTTTCTAGCTCTGCCTCTCCCTTCCTCTCTGAAATCAATAAAATATACTGTGCGCAGATGCAGAGCCCAGCATTTCATGTTTTATCTTCACCATCTGAAGATACGAACTCCCAGTGCCACCGAGAAGCCTGAGGCCCGGGAGTGTGAATACCCGCCCGTGGTCACCTGCCTGTCGCTGCTCGGCTGGAATGTGTAGGATGCCCCCCAAATTGAACATATGGACAGTGTGAGGCCAGGACAGGCGGCTGAGGTTGAAGAGTCCTGACGGTGTGGAGTGTCGGTGACGCTGCGGCATTTCTACGCCACCCTGCAAGCCACGGCTGGCATATAAGGAAGGGTTGACAGGATCAGGGTAGCTCATTGGAAAGACCGCTCTGGCACTGGGGAGTACAGCCTGGAAGTGCTCAGAGGAAGCGACAAGATCGGGCAGGGCTGCTGCAGCCACCTGGGCCGGGGCGCTGAGGCGGAGGCCCTGTGAGTGGGAAAGGGCAGAGCAGCTCCCGGGATACGGAGGAGGCCAGGGCCTGCGGATGGAAGGATACCACAGGGCCGGGGAGGAGGGGAGTCCCCCGTCCCCTCTGGCTCCATCTTCCTGGGGTCCCATCACCTGCCATGGACGTCCCTCTGTCAGCCCTGTGCTGCTGCGGAGCCCTGTGCCCCAAGACTCTGCACCCCTGCACCAGCCAGGCCCACTCACCCAGCAACCCCAACTCCAGCCACAACGTCTTCCCTCTAAAGACATGGTACCCAGCTGAGGACGGTCTGAGCCAAGCTCGTCTCTACCTATTCCAGGTCACACCTACCAGTAACAGAAGCCAGCCGGGAGGTGTGGCACCGAGGTCCCGGTGACTGCTCTGGTGTGGGAGAGGACCCTGGGGGAGGTCAACAGTCGGACGGGGCTGACCGCTCTCCAAGAATTCCTCTAGATCCACAGGTCATGTCATTTTCTCTCCCGAACAGCCCTTCCAGGTGGGGCCGCCCATTCTCAGATGAGGACTCACGCACAAAGGGGCTAAGTAACTTGCTCACCCAAGATCACACAGCTAACAAGTCACGGATGATCCAAACCAGCAACCTGTGCCCTCAGCCAGGTGCACGAGTCAACATTGCCCAGCAAGGCCCCAGGGACCACAGTGCCGGCTCCATTCCCTCCACCCACGTGCCGTCTGGCCATGCCCACATCTGCGCCTGGGAACTCCGTGGTGCCACAGGCCCTGTCCCTCGGGAAGCCCATGGCTGCCCTCTCCCTGGCAGCTCGGGTGCCTCGCGGAGTGTGTGGCGGAGCAGCACAAGCTCACAGTGTGGGAACACCGGGAGCGTGGGAATGTCTGTGCCCTGTGCCCGCAGCGCCAGGAGCAAGCTGTCCCCTAGACTCCCTCCTGAAGCCGCTGGCCAGCCGTCCTGAGACCCCAAGACAACCCTTCTTAGTGACCGTCCCGGTGCTGGGATCGAGGCTGCCCTGCACCTGCGGTTACCACGTGCCGAACACCTACTGTGTGCAGACGCAGAGCCCAGCACTTCATGTTTAATCCTCACTATCTAAGGATATGAACTCCCAGTGCCACCCAGAAGCCTGAGGCCCGGGAGTGTGAATACCTGCCCGTGGTCACCTGCCTGTCGCTGCTCGGCTGGTCTGAGCAAGTCCCGGGGAGCCCGTTAAGTGCAGCGATGGCCCAGCAGGCTGTGGGTCCACACACCTGGGCCTGGGTCTCGCTCTGCCACTCGGTACCTGGGCAACCCTGAGCAAACGTGCTTACCCCCCTGCACCTACGTTTCTGTAAAATGCCATGTGAGCAGACCTGCCTGGCCGGGTCGTTGGAAGACACTTAGGTGGTGCTTGCCTGAGAGGGAGCCCCTACGAGACGTCTGTATTCATTATTGCTGTGAGTAGCCGACTCCTGGGTGTCTGCGCCCTCCAGCCTGGCCCGACCCCAGCGCTAGCCCCCCTTCATGACTCAGACACAGACCTCCCAGAACCCCGTCACCCCCACCCCGTGGCTCACTTGAATCCTCGGTCGTCGGCGAAGCAGTGCGCGGCGGACACCATCCAGCTGGGGGAGATGAGCGAGGCCCCGCACAGGTGGCCCTGGCCCAGCCCGTGCAGGCTCACCTGCCAGGGCCACTCGCCTTCTTCCGCATCCTTGCCTCCGACCACCCGGGACTGCCTGCTGAAGGCCCGCAGCCCGCAGTCTGCGAGGGGCGGAACCCGAAGGAAGGGCAGGGAGTTAGGGTGGGTGCCAGCTCCAGGCCCTGCCGCAGGCTCAGGGAGAGCCCACGGGGGGCGGTCGCCTCGAAGTGGGCATAGCACTGCTGGTGCCATTGTGGCATGACAGAACCTATGAGCGAGGAACTGAGCCTTGGACCCACTGACTTCCACGGGGGCCCTTCCCTGCTCCCAAGGTCAATACCCTCACATCCCCCCAGCCTCGCCCCCTCCCTGCACAAATGCATTCGGGCACCTGCAGACACCTGCTGGTTTGCTTAGATTCCCAGGGGTGCCATTTGCCTAGATTTCCCTGGCAAACCCTGAAGACACAGCTCAGAGGGAGCACGGGCGGGTGACATGAAGTCAGAGAACAGCTGCTATGCTCAGATATAACTTGGACCAGGGCTTCTGGCACACACACAGGAGACTGCAAATTACAGCATGGGGTGGGGTGCGGGCAAACACTGGTGAGGGCTGGGGAAACTGTGCCCCCTCCCCCGGGGCAGGACAGGAAAGCCGGGTCCAGAGCAGAGGCCAGCCCAGCACCCCCGCCGGGACCAGGACAACTGAGCTGCTGGCTGCCCTGGGCCTTGCCTCCCGGGCCAGAGCACGCCCCTGGGGCAGTGCCCTCGTGCCAGTCAACAAGTCGGCAAGGTCATCCTTTCCTCCGGGCAGCAGCCAGGACAGAAATGGGAGCCTCTGTCTGTGCCCGCACAGTGAACCCCCTGTGCCCGCGGGCGGGCCCGCTCACCGCAGTTCTTCTCATCCGAGCCGTCGCTACAGTCCTTCTTCCCGTCACACTCGGGGTTGGTCTTGCTCAAGCAGAGCCCGTTGTGGCAGCGGTAGGTGTGTTTGGTGCAGGCGACGACAGTCCCTGCGTGGGGAGCAGGACATGGGGAGAAAGTCAGTTCCACTGGGGACCTCCTCAGCGGCCTGCCATCCAGCCATCTGCGCCCCCCACTCAGGCCCGGCCCACCCGCCACGCCACCATCCACTGTCCTTCCAACCCTGCCCAGGGTCCTCCACGTTCTGGAAGGTTCTCCCTCTGTGGATGCCCTTGAGTCAAGAAGGCAGTTTGTGTTTATTAAGCTCTGTAAGCACTGCATGTGAGTGTGCTTGGGCAGCTTCCCGGGAGCAGGGGGAACCCCCTAAAGGTCGGAGGGTGGGGCCAGGCCTTACCGCCGCTGCACTTGGCCTCATCGGACCCGTCCCCACAGTTGTCCTTCCCATCACATCGCTGGCTCTCGGGGATGCACTTCCCGTTGCCACACTTGAAGCTCTTATCTGGACAACCTGGGAAGCAGAAAGCACTGTCAGGGGTCCAAGTCCCCCCTGAGTGGACGGCAGGGAGCCGGGCCCCACCCCGGGCAGCCCCCCACGGGCACTCACTGCACTCCAGCTCGTCGCTGTTGTCCCCGCAGTCGTTCACGGTGTCGCACACCCAGAAGAGGGGCTTGCAGAACTTGTTCTTGCAGGTGAACTGGTAGGTGGCGTTGCATTCTGGGGGAGCGAGGGCGGCAGTCAGCTGGGGAGGCTCAGTGGGATGTGAGCCCCCAGCTCACCGGTCACTCCCTGCTTCCCTGGGAAGCTGCCAGGGACCCGGTGCCTGGGGTGCATCTGGGTGCTCCCTC